CCTTTCCGTGTATAACTATTTTCAGGTGCCGTTAGATCTTTGGGTTCCCCTCTGATTGAGCCGAATGATTTATAAGGTTTTAATCTACAATTCGCCCATTTCGTTGGCCCAATGTTGCCGTGGGTATCACTCATCTATCCAGCTGTTCACCGGCTTATGCTAATTCACTTATTTGTTTCTCTCGCCTCTGACTAATGAAGTTCACGCTTTATTAATAGGTTGTTTAACTGGTCAATTGGCCAGCGAGTCAAACGTCACCTGTCGTTTTGTTGTGGCTATTTTTAGACTGTAAACCAAGTATACCGCCGTACTCCCCCGGTCCCTTGGAATTTTTGCTGTCATCGACTTGGTCAAGTTGCTTAATTACTTTTCGTGGCTGAAACTATGCAAATGAACCAACGCTGATTTGCTTTCCATTTTGAAAAGGCTGATTATTTGGAACCGTTAGCTGTCGTTAATTCGATCATTTAGGTAATTAAAAAATGAGTTCTGATTGAGATTTATGGATTATTTGTCGATCTCGAGTGAAACATTCATTCATATTTCTCAGTTTGGTTCAACTGTATGTTTTAGTCAGTTGAAGCCAGCTTAAAGCTGATTCATAATGATTAATGTTGATCGGCTTAGGTGTTAGGGTATCAAAAAGTCGATTATTATCTCTACTTAATAGCCTTCTTCGCGGTCATTACTACTCCTCTTATTTGTTGGCTAATATTTTTGTTTTGGTTTCTTTTCGGTTGGTTTTGTGCTGGCCAAGCTGATTTTTTGTTTTGGTTTTTTGGTGTGAGAAATATGAGCTGCATATTCTGTGAGTATTGTTTTATTTTTAGCTGTACTTAAGGAAAATGAAAAAAACAATTGAACGAAGCGTAATGCTCATAGTTAGGTAATCGAAAACGTAATTGTTGCGGAATTGTTCTCAGGAATTAGGCAAAGCCATATCTAATTATAAGGAAATGTTGTTCTTTAAGTTTATTAGTTTCATTAGTCGAATAAAAAACTACATGGGAGTAACATCCAGCAATTACTGTACTCATTTACATCGTAGCTGTATGATTATCAATCAACTGAATTAGCCACTAACATGTTTTGATTCACCTCAGACACCTGAGACAGGTGACAGAACGTAGCAGTAAAATGACTCGCTGAGCATAAATTAAGTCCACATTTCGTAGGCGTTTAATTGCACATTGCTCACTCATTCACGCCAGCTAAAAGTGTTCCATTTACAAGGAAACTTTTTACAAATATTTACGCGGAACGTTTATTTGCACTTTGCACTCCCTATGCTGTGAAAATTGAACAAACGAAAAAAGCAAAACAAAACTGTGAAAATGAAAACAAAAAGCGAGCAATGCTAAATATTCCATTTAGAAATCGAATAACATAAAGCGAAAACGCAGCTTTGAGCGGTCGTAGTTTGAATACTCTTGTTAATGGGAAAAGTCTTAACGGTTTGCAAAAAATAGGATTCACCAACATTGAGGAAATTTATTAAAATATTGAAAAATTGTCTTAAAATTAATTACAACAAGAAACCAACACTTAGTTTTGTAAAATTGGTAAGCAATTGAGGAGGATTTTCATTATCGACAGGTTAAAATGTTTTATAATCTTCTACTAATCTTAGGAAAGCATATTAAATACAGTGCCCTAAAAATTATAAAATATCTTTAAAAACATGTATTGTTTATAGCTAAAAGTTTAAGAGAATTTTAAATTAAGAAACATGAGTACTAGCTTAGATCCTACGTTTCTAAAAATGCATTTCTGCTCTTTCTGTCGTATTTGTGTCAACTTCGCAAAGCGTTTTAAAAATAGTTTTAAATATTGAGTTTCATTTAGAGAATTCCCGTATAAAAAACCAGATTTACCCCGTCAAGTTGTCAAGCAAAACCATTTCCCAATAGCTGAGCATTAGCGACAAAAAATTGTACAAATTGTATTTCAAGTTCAACACGTCTGTCAGCACTGCCGGGTGTTCCACTGAACCACTACCCCTGTCCCAAATGGCTGAAAATCGCCTTGGGATGTGTCCACTCGCATCGATATTTTAAATGGTTTTTGCACTTCGCGTGGTTCTTTGTCGGAGTGGTTTTGCTAGCGGGAATACTGCCCTTTTAAATGCAATATCCCGGCTTACTGCCGGTGCTATAAATATTACTGGTGCACAGCAATTAAACGAACCAAATAACGAAACTCGAAAAGTACGTAAACCAAATATATAACATGCAGGTTGAACCTCCCCAATTTTTGTTTTGAATCAGCAAACACGTTTGGCTACTGCGACTGGAATCTGGCTACTGGCTTAGTATTTTGTTTGCTTGGGAGACAATTGCAAATATTAAGAAGGGGCCAAACAAATCAGGTGGAATTTAAGTTTGCACAAAACCCAAACCATTTCTAGGGGCAGATTTATTAAAATTCTATTCCAAATGCTTGCCATAAAAGTGTCAATTTAATTCGATTGAATTACTCCATTCATGAAATAGTGAATTTTGGCGTGGATAAATCAATTATAATGTAGTGTGTAGCATTGGCAAGCTTGTGCCATTAATCAAAATTAGTTGTTTACACAGTAAACTGAAATGGTAAACAAATCGGCAATGACAAATAAATGAATGCAAATTCCATAAATATTGGGAAAACAAATCAAAGTATAAGCAGATTGTGGTCAGCCCGGAAGGTGCTTGTGAATTATATTGCTGCTCATCTGGCTGTTTGATTAACATTAATATCGGTACGACCCATGTGTTAATTGTGAACATGGGTTAAGCACTTCATTTCACTTTGTCGTCGACCAGCTGATTGCCCACAATTTTCCATTTCAATTTCACTTTTTTTTTTTTCAAAGTTTATTTATAGCTTGTTTTCTCTTGCTGCACATTTCTCAAGATCCAATTGTGCCTTCATTATTTACTTTTAATTATGCGCTTTTTATCTTATCGCGAAATTGTTGTTATTATTTCTACAGCTGCTATTGACAAGACAATATCGTTGAGCATACAGTGTAAAATAATTATGCACTCGAAAAAACCAAAAAGCCGTCGCACTCTCGAACAGAGTATTTATGAATTTTGAAAACGCGCGTCTTGTGAGATTTTCCCGTCGAATTTTCGGTGCGTTCCGTGCGCAGTTTTCTGAGCGCTTCGCACACGCTCGACTCGCCAAACCGAACTGAGCGGCCGAATCGGAATTTGAATCGGAATCGCAGGCGGTCGCCGACGATGCCGCCGCTGAAGTCGGACGGCACAGTCTGCGTCGGCGGTGGGCGGTGACTGCGGCAGAACTGCGACCGCAGCAGCGACGTCGGCTGCTGCGTACCTGATCCAGAGTAAAATCAGAAGGCGCAGAGCAATCTAATGTATTGCAATCTTAACTCAATTAAAAATAACAAAAAATAAAACGTATAAATAATAACAAAAGAGACAATAATTAATGAATTACATAGGTGTATTCTAATGAATATTTATTATAATAATGGAAAAATTTTAAAAGTATTTAAGCAGAATACTTGTTAAATATACTCAGAAAGTCAATAGGATTTTGTATACAGGCTATACTCTAATGCAACAAAAAAGAAGCAAGTGCTCAGATCATTTAAATTTATACACTAACTTTTATTGTGTTAATGAGTGTTTATTAGTTGGCTTTATCCAGAATTTACTTAGAACTGTTTTTTTAATGCTTTTTTTGTGAAACCGAATTTAAGATAAAGATATACTTTTGAATGAAAATATAGCGCGGAAGTACAATTTGGGTTAATGGTAATTCAGTTGTCATTAAGTTTATTATGTTACCCTACATTCTTAGTTTATAAAAATAAATAAATTTAAATAAAGACAACAACAATTAATAAGTCATTTACTGGCAGAACCAGATTCTTCTGAGTAATAATTTAAAGTTGTGATAAATGTGTGTAATTTTCGCAAAAGTTTTATTTTGGAGACCAAACCCTGTTGTTCTCATAACCTTCTTTTCTTGGCTGTTGTTATACTTTCAATAATCAATTCATGACTACGTTCCGATCGCAGATGAATAATAAATCATAATCAACAATGAGTCTTGGGAGCAGGCATGTGTTCAACCTAAAAGCTGTTGCCTCTTCTTTTTGAACTCTCACCGGGGGTGCAAATATCCCTGCCTGTTGTCCATTACATGCACAAATCCAATTTGAATTTCAACTACTGTGCAGATACACTCGTCTGTCGTTCCTCGTCGCTGTCGTCCTGCTCTGTTTCGGCATAGATTACATACACATACATGGATATGATGGGATAGTACGCATACGCAGCGTGGTACGCATAAAGCGTTGGGAGCCCAGTTTCATATTTCAGTTGTCTCCGTATTTGCATCTTCATCTTTTTGCCCATTTCCAGCACGTGAACTTAATAAATCACTGGGATGAGACAGAATTTTTGGTGAGATGGGTGCGAATGAATTGCACTTGTTGCCCATCATTTTATCTATGTCTTTTGTGTGCGAGTGAGGGTTTTACTTTTTCATAATTGTTTGCCATACATTCGAGTTAGTAGTGCCAGCAAGTTTCAGTTGAAACCATCTGGGACACGAACTGAAGTTTGGAAAAGGTACCCAGAAGAGGATTGCTTTGTGCATAACCAATTGTGGCACTCAACCCGTCAGTGTGCAGGTCATAAATTAGATTTTTCCGGCCACGCATCAATTTCAATGCCATTCGCTTATGCAATTTCCTGTTTAGACTGTCGAACAAATGGTTTGTTGGATGGTTGAAAAGATAAGCAGCCAACGGCTATCAAAGGGAAATCTATTAGTTTGACTCCCGATTGATGCCATTGATAGATGGTAGGCGACTTAAGTCGGCTTTACGTCTCTACTATCGATTTTCCTTTCAGGAAATTTCAGTCTCGTATTGAAAATGAAATGAAATTAAATTCCTATTCAGTTTTGCCAGCCACTTCGCTCTCATCTTTATATTCAACGAGGACTTTTACATTAACATTTCACTGACAATGCAGGCTTTTAGCGCCCGGCAATCCATATAAATTGTCAATAAAGCGCAAATGAGTCAAATGAAGTTGCATGGTAAAAATGTTAAGCATTCCTCTGTCCACTACCGTCGTCCGTCCATGTTCCTTCCGACGAATGGAAATGGCTCTTACTACTGCCGTCTACAAAGAAAGGAGGGGAAAAAGAGTGTGCTGCGTGAATGCCATCGAGCTGAGGGCAAGCTGAAGAATGCCAATGTTGATTGCTCTGGGCAAGGACACGACCGGAAAAAGCACAATGACTGGCTTAAGGGACAAAGGATCAGACTTTTGCATATGTTGTCGTGCACTTTTTTTCCAGCAGAAGGTAAATATTGAAGGGATATTGAATCAATTTCCTAAAGCATTATTCTTATTGAAATTAATAAATAAAAGCGGTTGATGCCAGGCTATTTTCTCTGGCCTCGATTATTGCATTGCTCATACGCCGCGTTGGCTCCATACAATATGCGGCATGCCTGTGGTTCTCTGTGAATATGCGTAGGCGTGTCATTGTGTCCGTGGGTGTATTTGTGTGCGTGAGCGTGAGCGGAGCGCCTCGAGCACTGACTGCAATTGAAAACAACAAACAGGCCCCGGAATGTCTATAACGATAACGAGAAGGAGCATTTAAAACTAAACATGGCATACTCTTTCCATGGAACTTACCCCGTTAAAATAAAATGTAAGCCCTCTAAGTTATGCAATAAAAATGAACATATTAATACTCGCTTATTGTTGAAATTTTAATCTGGTAAGCTAATACATAAAGACACCGCACGATAATGCCATTCAAACTACAGTGAATTGAATTGAAAAAGTATATTTATTTTTTTAATGCTTTAAACCCCTTCTTTCGAAATGCAGAATGTGCTGCTGGGGAGCCATCCACAAACAAAGGGTAAGAGAAATATATATTTTTATAAGGTAAAGTCAAGTTTTTTTTAAAATAAAATTGATGAAAATGAAAAAATCAATTACCCTCGGGCAATCCCTTGTTATAGTTATCTATATACCTTATTTGACCCCGGTGGACTTCCAATCAAATATGCAATGCGTTTGCCCTTGCAATAAATGAAATCAAAGGGATTCCACAGTTCGTTCCTCCAATAAAGGGCAGCAGGACTGCAAAATCTCACAAACAACTCTTTTACAAGTCGATGTCTAACACACATTTTATCGCAGGCCAAGTGCGAGTGTTGTTGTGTTTGCAGCAATTGTTCTACGATACCAAGCTCGTGTGTGAAATCCTGCATATGACAGACCAGACAGCAAGCTGGTGTGTCTATGTTTTTCTGATTTAATTGTTCGGGCAATTAAGTTGGGCGCAAAGTGGCACTTGAAAGTGCTACGTCCCAGGTGGGAGCTCAGTGGCTCCTGGTTTCTAGATAGCTCCCAACGTCCTTTGTTCAATTAGTATTATTACTTTCCTAAATATCCAGTAACTGAACCACGTAATTACTGCATACTTGAGACTTTGAGCGACCTAACGAGCTAAAATTGTATTGGATGGAAAGCGAAACAATGAAAGAAATTTATAATTAATTTAATTTGCATGTTTGAGCTAAAGGTTGCCTCTTCCTTAGTACAAACTTTACGAAAACTTTTCCGGGCTCTAAACTAATATTCTAGAGGGTGGTGGTATCAAAACTTTTACTCCGCCTGAGTCACACAAATTGGAAGAAAATATTCAGTGCATCCTTAGGCGCAATCATCCGGCAAAGTCTACACAAAGTGAACTCTCTATCACTCTCTTTCTCTTGCTCTATCACTTTATCCCCATCGCTTTCCCGCTTTTCACTCGTGGGTGTGACTGTTTTCCAGCTTAGTCGTGTGTGTGTCAGTTTTGTCAGCTTATCTGTGTGGTTGGTGGCAGTTACCACTGTGCCAACCGCATATCAGCATTGCGACTATAGCCAAAGCCCCAAAATGGTTTCAAAATATGACTTTTCCATACCCTTCAAGTTACGATTATCCCTAATTTGGACACTAAACTAGTTCTAGTTTTTATTTTTATTTGATCAAAAATATTTTAATTTCGGAGATGCAAAAGTACAAGATGGCTCAGCGTAATTAACAAACGTCTATATCTCAAACTAGCTTGAAAGGGATTTGGAAATAATATCTCATCAAGAGTAGTTAAATATATATTATCAAAAACAAATAAAGTCAATATGCAGCTCTTTACAAAAGTTATAAAGCCAAAACTTAAGCCCTTCATCGTATTTTCCTCTTGAAAATTGTAATTGAATTTCTTGGAAGTGAATTTACACTTCGTTGGTTTTGCCAAATTTTATTGGACCCTCGACTCTTCGGGTCTCAGATGGGAGAACTGAGCGATGGCCGCATCTGCTGTCGGCATTATTACCCAGCTCAGTGCTGTTAATGATGCACTGCGGCTGGCTGACAGGCAGTTCGGCCATGACACCAACCACACAGGCACCTCTCCTCCACTCGGTCTGCTTTCCACTCCGCTGAAGGGTTCTGGCAATTTATAGTTTTGCCACTTTAATACAGCCCACAGGCGTATAAAATTATTGAAAAACTCATCTCATATAGTGCAAAATGTAAGTTTTCTCGTTTCGGTCTGGCCTAAGCAATTAATTAGTCAGGCAAATTGAAAGATGCCGCAAAAATTCGTTATTTTCTTGTGGCTAGGGGGAAAATCCGAATATCCTTGGTCAACATGGAAAGACATTTTGTAAATTAAAATTTGATTTTCGAGTGCGGCATATACAATTGGCATGTTTATGTGTATACATACAAAACTTTCCCTGTAGTAAACCTGGATTGGATGGATTATGGCAAACTTTTGCAAATGTTATTAAATTTAGTTGCCACCGAAACTTCAACAAAAAAAACATCAGAAACATTTATGTGTGCGCAGTTGTTTGGCCTGGTGGGGAAAACATTTTTTTAGGTGCCAATTACATACGGAAACCAAGGCAAACAACCAAAAAGTATGTTAAAACGTTTTTATGATTGCCTTCGCATTTGCATTCCGTTTCTGTTTGTGATTGGTGAAATATGCGAAAAACGACATGCAATTATATAATTTATGTGCAATTTGTGTCTGACTTCGTCCTAATTTGCTAATTGGCAGACAGCAGCCAAGTATTATGAAAATGTTTGGCTTAACCTATTTGTGAATAACATGAAAATAATGCAAAAAGAATATAAGTGATGACAATTTGTTCAATAAAGAGCTGACATTAAACCGCTTAGTTGTTGCTATCATTTCGCATGATTTGAATCCGAATATAAATTACATTAAATATTATAAGCGGGTTGTTTAAAAATTAATTTATTTATTTTTTTAGAGTAGCAAATTACTTAGACCAGAAAAATTGCCAAAACTATGACAACCATTTAACACATATATTTATATAGTTCGCAAAACGAGGCTCTCTACAAAAGAAGGGAAACGAAGACATTGAGCTGGAATGGATCAAGAATATATATACTTTATGGGGTCGAAGATGTCTCCTTCACTGCGTTGCACACTTTTGGTTATAAATTGCTGATATTAGATAAAAATCTGTTGAGTTTTAAACTAAATGACTGCCACAAAAATGGAATTGACAATCCTGTAATTGAATTGTTTAAATATAATAATGACATTAGACAGTAATTAACAAAGCGTTAGGATTTAATTAAAATTTGCAACAGCTGAGCTTTTCCCCCCAACTCAGCAAACTTTATATAGGTGTTATCTACACTCGAAAACCAAGCAATATACATGTCCGGTGTGTTATTCGGCGGTAAAATGGTACAATTTGAATTTAATTTTGTCTCGTAAAAAATGATTAGAACTGTAGCATGGCAAACTAATTTGCATACATGCATGGCGGTCTGTTTGCCAAGGACGGAGGATGGGGCATGGAGGACCAGAATGGTGGCCTATTGTGTTGCCAGTTAATGAGGTTTACAGAGTGCTCCTCGCCGGAGCTGCGAGCGATTGCATGCAGCTGGAACTTTTGTTGCCACAACATGGCTGCTTGGAGCACAATGTAATTCATAACCGAGTTTCAGTTTGAGGACGGCAAATAAATGCATGTGTGTATGTTTTTTATTGAATGAATTTCCTTTTAAGGATGCCCGAGTTTTATGCACCATCTGCACTAAATTTGTTCACAGCCAGCCAAAATTAAATGAAAACGTACAACTTTTCGCTGGCTTTAAACGGATAATCAGCTGCGAACATGGCTTTTCACTCAGCGATTCTAATTGTATGCATTAAAATGAAACTTTTTTTCAATTTAACACCCCATCAACGGCTCTGTCTGCCATGGATGGTGCTTTTATCTGACAGTTGCCACCTTAACGTTTAATTTGCTCCAAAGCGCCAGTTCAGCTGGAACAAATTTGTTATTTCAGGCAGTTGGGCAGGGAAATTACGAAAGTAACAAAAAGTGCAAAAATAAATTAGGTATGAAAATGAAGCTGTCAATAAACTTAGTTCAACTTGCAAATTTTCAGCAAATATTTGTAGGACTTAATCCCATTTTCCAGTCAGCAAAGTGCTGGCAAACACAATTAGTTGAGTGCTCAGCATTCCTCAAAGATTCTTTCGTTTTCCGTTGGCCAAAAAGTTTAATCCAAGAAAAAGAAAAGTTTCGGCACACAGTTCCGCAGATAAGAGCTTCATTTAATGGTTTGATTGTTTCAAATTTAAAGTGTATTTCATTTGATCTTTTTCTTTGGTTATGAACTCACGTTTTTTTGCCATTTCACTACACAGATAAAATACAATTTTCCGCTAGCTGACATTCGACAGCTTAGCATGTGCTGACAGACAAAACTCTTGTTCCGGTAAAAAAAAAAGGATTTTTATAAAATTGACACGTGAAATGGTGCAAAAATCCGTCGAAAAGTTATCACCAAAATTGTGACATAAAAATATAAAAAAAGGAGGTAAGGATGAAAGGTGCTAAATGGAAAGCACTTTAGCGTTTCAGAATTTAAGTTGAGTTTAACCAGACTGTTGGCCCCATGACCAAGCAATGGAGGGGGGGAGAAGGTGGCCCCCGAAATAATAAATTACATTGAACGCAGTTTTATTGCATACTTGCAGGGGCACTGTAAGATTTCCCCCCTGTCCCTACAGCTGTGTGTGAAATAATAGTAAAAGATTTGCAAATCGGGATAAGAGAATATTTTAAAATAAATGGCTTTATTTTTCCTTTATCTATTAATCACTTGATCTGAAAATAATGATGGCTTTATAAATATCGTTAATAAGTGTCCTGTGTGTTTGGTATGTCAACCAAATTTTACTTTTTAAAGAGGTTTAATACTGTTTTATTGATTTTATTCATGATAGGTGAAATGAAATATGAAAATGAAAAATGAATATTTAGAAACACTTTAATTAAAATGTAATTTTTTCTTAAATTTGATGTTTCAGGTATCTCAACCAAATTTTGCTTTTTAAAGATGTTTTAATACTGTTTTATTGACGAAAGGGGTTTTAAAAGTTAATGCTTTATCGGTTTGATATAAGAGGATTAATATAAGTACAAAAATGAAACAAAAAATAAAAATCTAGTTTTTTCTTAAGCTTGATGTTTCAGGCCTTATTATTTTGATCCTTGCTGTTTTTTGTGCTTTTATAGAATACGACTGGTTGGGGACTGCAAGCTGA